ACCTCTCTGCGCTGTGGGTGACAGTGAGGGATGGGCTCGCGCGGCCCGGCGCTGCCGTCTCGCCCCTCTGACAGATGGAGGACCTCGGCTCCAACTCTGGGGCTCACTTCTGCTCTGCCGACCCTGCGGGTCACCCAGTCGCAGCCACGGTGCTCGCGACTCATCGCCACCGACTAGAACGCTACCGATTTCAGGTCCTACAACGTTGGAACATTGCCCTCTTACCTAAGAGTACAGCATCGAAAATTCAAACCTCGGTAACTCGAATCCAGATGACTACATAACTTCCATAACTTGAACTTCGATAATTCAAACTTCCGTGACATTCCTTAAGTAATACCTGCTGTGACCTAAACGAGACGAACCTCAATGGGTCGAATCTGGATTCATCGGATTCAACGATTCGAATCTGGATTCATTTTTTCGGAAATCAACCAGTTTTTCTGAATATCAGTGAATAGAAAATTATGTATATTATCCACATTACCTGCATACTTGCGAAAGGTGTTTTAAGTACTTTTATTCTGTGATATTATATGTGATGTAAGATTTAACTGACTTAACTTCCACTAATTATTTATTTAATCCTGCCCCCTGCTGAGCAGCCATTTGAGATGGTTTACGATTTTTACTAATTTAATTTAATAAACGTCCAATTCTAAAGTAAGCAAATGTTCGATGCATATTTCCCTTTATTAAATGCCTTTGTGATGTCATATATGCTTCCCCAAATACGCATCACGTACCAGAGCAATAACGAAAGAGGCCGTTCACTGAAAATAGCACTCACCTGATACGTCTTCTGAGCTCGATCTGCAGCTTGCGGAGTTCGTCGACGTACGACGCCATGTTGTCGAAGTAGGAGGACGCCTCGTCCACGCTGGCGTTGCGCTCCACGTTCATCAGGATCTCCTTCTTCCTGGGGCAGAGAGACGGCCACTCGAAGGGGAGGAGACGATTGGAGGATCGAAGGTGGAAGGGGTTGCAAAAGAGGAAAAACACACACAAGCGGCACATTGGAATTTGAAGCGGTTAATAAAATTGCTCCAGGTTTGTCAAACACTGTCGTCTGTCAATTTCTTTTATAAGCAATCCATTTGACGTTTATGGTTACACCATTCCGGCTCAATATATCGCTGCAATTAATATTTCACATTATTATTGACTCGGAAACGGAGAAGTAAGAGTAATTGAAGGAAAATTAGAAAGAGAAGAAAAATACAGTTTTTGCCTTAGCGCTTTACTAAGAGACACCAATGCCTAGCGTTTCAGTTAATATTGTGATTGTAAAATGAAATGGCCTTTGTTTCAGGGCGGCAGTGACCGCGAGACTCTTCTGAACGTCATATTCAGTTTAAATTGCTTTTTTGACGCAATAAATAATCGACATTATCATTATCATTATAAAACTCGTTATACTAAGCAGATAGTGACATTTAAAGAATTATGTAAAATGAGATAAAATGGGGAAAATGTTATTAATAATTTACGTGGTGATAGTGTTTTGGCCAAGTTCAAACGGAAGTGTAGAAAATCAGTGTAGTTCGATTACGCATGCGGGCCCTTTCACAACTCTTGAAAGTTGACAGAAACAGCCCTGTTTTCATCTTCTTTACGACGTTACAGAAGTCTGTCGTCTTTAAAATGTGGAGGCTTTAGATATCTATCGACACGATTGCGAATTTATCGCTCTCACAATAAGGCTTTGCCGACGCAGCTTTTCCCAAGGCCCACTAGAGGGCACCTTTGACAAGAAGTGGGCGAGCCCCAACAGCTGGCCTGTGCAAACGGAAAAATGCCGTCATTATGTTTTCCCCGCTCGAAGCGGGAGAGACGAAGCTCCCGATTCCTGCAGCAGTGGCAACCAGGGGTGGCAAGCGAGGTGGTGGAAATTGGGTAGTGCAAGACTGGGGCGGAGTGCCGGTGAAGTTGATGTACTATCGCTTTCGTGTAACAGCCTGTGTTTGACTGAAATTTGTATATTTTCTGGGGCTACCTTTGTATTGTTGTTATAACAAATCTGCGTCTCAACGCATAACGTTTCAGGACTTGAAAGGCAAGATACCGACTTTAATTATTCCTATCTTGCTGCCAACCTTGTAAGCTATGTGAATTTGCTTTCTCACAAAAATGTTATTACGTTGTATTACGTCCAAGCATTTCATATGCAGTGAAACTAACTGAAAGAGACACCTCCAAAACTCCGTTAACAGCTACTTTATCTTTTGTAAAGCAGACCTGTTTTACCATAAAGAAACAGTAACACTTTCCTGTCAATTTTGCGATTTCGAACCGTATTCTTGGAAGAAGTGGAAGAGAGGAGGAGTTTACTATTGATTTAATATATTTCTGCGCAGGAGTGCATAGTCAAATTACTTTGAAAATATATTTTTAGAATAGTTTACCTTGCGGAAGAATTCCTTTTCGCTGCAGATAATAGATAATTTTGATGATTTGAAGTTTCTTCATGGCGTGAATTGAAACATAGATAAACAAGTCGAAAAATGAAAAAAAAGGAATATGAAAGGGATATTATAACCGAGTTGTTTAATGTGCTCACGTACACAAAAGAGACCGGAATTAGAATTTCAAATGAAATTAAGAATATTTTAACAAGTAAAGTATTCTGAACTTACCGCAAATGGGAAAATTAAATTAAATACTAGCTTTCTATACCTTTATAACCCGTATTAAACACCACTGTACTTTTGGTTATTTCATCCAGGTAGCTTAATGCTGGTTTTACGCTGGCAAGAGCGCTGCAAGTATCTTCTTGGCTGTCCAGAGGACGATGCGTCCTAAGTACGGATGTTAACGTTTTGGTCGTCATTCTGGAACCTTCCGAAGCTCTTCGCCTTGAGGAAAGTTGCAAAATGACGGTCAAAACCTAGCAACTATAGATGCAGACTGCTGCCGCGGAATCCTACGCCTTCGCTTTCTGCAAGTAGTTGTAACAACTGCTTGCGGAGGTCTTTATAACCTGCCGAGCAATTAGTTGCCAGTGAAAATCCAGCATAAGACAGGTTTCATCAGGGGCGTCCAAAAAGGGGTGGGGGCAACTTGCCTCGGGCACCGACTTCATTTGGCCGCCGAATTTGTTTTCATTCATAAGAAATGAAAAAAAATATTATATCTATTTCAAATTTTACACCATATATTATTTCTGATTCTTGGAGCAATGAGATGCTTATGAATTGACGGAGGAGGGAAAGTTTTGCTTGAAATAACGGGCTCGCTTGGGTATATTCCCGCCAGGCCCCAGGTTTTTTTCTGGGCGCCTATGGATTTCACAGTCCACGAACGTCAACCTACCGAGCGATCACTTTTACCCACGATCACCTTTCACCTTTCACTTCCTAATACATTAATAATAATAATAATAATAATAATAATAATAATAATAATAATTCACAGCGGGGACAAAGTTGCTTGCGTCTGTGGTCTACCACACGTGTCCCCTGAGTAATGCTAAATGAGCAACAGTGATTCGCCATCTACGCGCTTGACCATTGTGGGCACCTTACAAGCCGAGGGAAAGTCTGCGCGTCTATACTGGTCGTCGCGTCAGCAAATGGCTAACATGCCAAGGGTGAGCGCTGGCTAACAACAGCAACGACGACGACGACCGGCCACCGCCGAGCAGTCGACTCACTTGCGCAGGATGAAGCCGTAGTCGGTCATGTTGGCGGTGAGGCGGCGGTAGGAGGCCTTGAGCGAGGGCACGTAGGTGAAGGAGGAGTTGAGCAGGTCGCTGCCCAGCGCCTCATGGCGGACGTAGTTGATGTAGTTGTTGGTCTTGAGGGAGCCGCGCCCGAAGTAGTTGATGCCGTACACCACGGCGATTCCCATGTTCTCGATGGCGCGCAGAATGTTCTTGAACGCGATCAGCAGTCTAAAGAATAGAAACAACAACATGATGAGTCGCTTTTAAAACTCTCTTTTATTATCAAACTCAAGTGAGATTAGTTTCACTCGAGTTATAGCATAAAGACATGCTGCTTGTAGGATGTATTTGAAAGCGGTCAACAGTCTAAATGATAAATAAAAATGAGTCAATTTTGTAATAAAGAAAAAAGATGAATACATCCCAACATATTGGTATATTTCCTTACGTATTGGTATTCACCCATCAGCCACTGCAAATGGCGATCGCTAATAGGAATAAAAAAATTCAGTTTTGGTTGAGAATCACGAGTTAAAAATGTGTTTTTAGTTGTGTATCGTTATGAATTGTTGTATATCGATTTTTAGTTGTATATCGTTATAAATTTTTAATAGTTATTTGTAGTATTTTATAAGTATTTCAGTTGTTTCAGAGATAAAGCAACGATTTGGAACCACTTTAAAGATAATTTTGAAATGTCCTAGGGTACTGCAGTAAAGTTTCCTCCAAAATGAAAACAGTCGTTTCAAATTCGATGTGACTATGGGGACGTAACATCATCCAAATTTATTGGAGAGTATCCACATTGGAGAATATAAAGTCTAGGGTTTAAGCCACGCTGTTCCATCTCGGTGGGCACGCGGGCGCCCACGAGTCACCGCGGGCACTGGCAGAGTCTGGCGGGCGCAGACTACTGCCAACCCTCGCTGCCACCGCCTGACGAAATATAAGCCCTTTGGCCTTGACCTTTGGTGACAATTCGTCGCTGATAGCCGAACGCTTAGGTATGGGAGCGGAGATCATACTCACCCCTTAAGAAATCTTTAAATTTAACAGGAAACGTAAACTTGGATTTAATTCAACAACTATATTTTATGAAAATAACTTTAGACGTATTTTTCTTAACAAGTGGAGCAATATCTGGTATCAGTCCTTGGGATGTTGAAATGCATAGAACGCTCTTAAATATCTTGTCCTAAGGTTGGGTTCTTTCTTTGTTTTTTTAAATTTTCATTGCAGAGAAAAGATGCTCACAACAATATGTTGCTCCAAACAAAGATACAATCTTTGCTCAATTTTATGAAGCTAGGGGAAGATTTCCACTGGCTAATCGTGACAAATTAAGCGTATTAAAATATCTGTTTTTTACAAGTACTAAGTTATGCAAATGTATTATCTCCAACTGCATCGGCGAAGATGTGACTTCCTCTGCTAGCCGTGACACTACTTATATTGCTTCCACGAAAAGCAGAGCGAAAGTGATAAGAGGGCCTCCCCCTCCACAACCTCCTCCTGGGCTAGCCACGAATGCACGCGGCCGCGCCTGCGGGAGTTGGAACAGCCTGGTAGGCGCTAGTGTTCTTCACTTACACACGAACGGACAGCAGACGATGAAGAAGGAAACTAATTTTCGGAATCAAGAACTAATAAAATATGGATTTTGACTACAACTCGTGTTTCTTCTTATGTCAAAATATCGTCTTTTTCCCTTGCAGCATTACAGAATTTTCTCTACGTGAAAAATACGCAACAATAAAAAAATAATTTTTGATATTAGTGAAGAAATTTGTATAGAAAGTAATGTATTTTTCTGGGAAAGTTTCGTTAAGATAATTCCCATGTCAGGCAATATTTATAAGAAAACTCAGCCTTTGGTTGTGTTTGGTTGCAGTTATAAATTAAAAACTTATTCACGAAAAACAACAATTTTAGAGATGTCGCTTTTCTTGTGCATCAAGCGTATATGAAATTATGTTATCATCAAAACAATATGTGGGCTTACATGTTTTGTAAAAACACAATATAACAATCATTTCACTACAGTACATTGTTTAAATTCGTGCTGTGTTTTATCAGTGACTTAACGCATAGGGTATGCTTTGGGTATGTTTTTTTATGTAATATAAAAAAACATGAGAGCTAATAAAAACAGAGGCAATATAATCAAGTAAATAGGTGTAAAGAAATTAATAGTTTACGCACCTCCACACTCCACTATTATCCGTCTCCTTTATCTGATTAGTCAGATGATTGAGCATCGCCGCATTAACTGACTGGTACCAGTCCAACACCTGCTTGATGCTACTGTCATTACGGAAATCAGGTAAGCGATCACTGCAACAAGGAAACAATACTGCATTTTACATTTTTGGTTGAATATTATATCAATTTAACTACAAGAATATGATACAACTAGTAAAGAGTCATCAACTTACATATTAAAATGAGTTAGAGTTCCCTTTTGAGAAAAAAATCAGTGGTAATTCATGTGAGTACCTTGAAATTGGATTTGTTTAGTTAAAAAATAATATGGCGAAATGTTAAACTATTTGTGGGTTTTATTGTTTTCCAAATTATGAAGCTGATTTACTATGTGTGATAATTCGAATATTTTACTCGTCATTCTTAGCACATTTCCAGTTGTGTACGATGGCACTGGGTTAATTCCCCACCTTGATAGATGCTCTGTGGGGTTTCGAAACGTTATGGGCTGTAATATGAATTTCCCGCCCAATGTGGTGGCTGGTGCTGCCGCTGGGCAGTGCCAGTATCCAGACCGACTTTCCTGGCCTCCGTTACCGTCGCCCCTGTCTATACAAAGATTTATTTAACTATGCACTTGACGTAAACTAGTTGTTCTCGGTTTCATCCAATCGGGAGCTTGAAGGTCCCCGTAGTGACGTCACTGTAGCGGCATGTAGTAAGCTCCCGATTGGATGAAACCGCAACAGCTGATTTACGTCAAGTTCACGACTAAATAAATCGTACTGTAGTGGCTGTGCGCACGACCAGCCACTCAGTGAGTAGCGCGTTGGAAGAGCTGAAGACCGCGAGCAAGGCAGAGCAGGGTCGGTGTCTTCTAGACGAGAGAAGTGTTTCAGTGGATTCGACTGTGGCAGGTGTGTTCACCTTTCTATTTACAGCGTAAATATAAGAGGCCGGCGGATTTTATTTTCTTGTCGAGTCATGTCCGAAAATTATTATGCAGTCGGTAATACTTTATGTATTTATGCTCTGCTAATAATGTAAATCAAGCAATTGGAAAGCAAATAAACATACCCCTTCAATCTAAGTTAGATGTAAATAGTACTTAGTTTAAAATTATGCCCATTTCTAACCTCGTAACGAAAAATCCTTAATGTTATGTATGAGTTCTCATTCAAGTTAAATGTATTTGATGATGGTTGGCAAACGAAGCCATTTTACTTGATGATTTGATGATTTTACTCTTAACCTCGCGGTTTCGTGCCCTGTACACATTTCTCTTCATTCTAAGTCGTTACAAGGCCTTTTATAGAACGGTTTGAAAAGGCTTTCTCGTAACCTGGCTTAAAATTTACCGGAGTTTGCCTGTATTCACCTTGCATTTTCCATTGATCAGTCAACGGTTTGTTTGTGCTGAATCCAATTTTTAAGAACCCTTTAAATTTCTCAACTTTGACTTTGAAAAAATTGTTATGAAAGTTTCACTTTCACTAAGTCTGATAATGCAAGAAATTTTTGCTGTACTGTGATATTCATTATGTGGTAATTAGAACAAAGTAAGTTCCAATATCAAGTAAGGTATATTAAGGTTTCCGAATTATGTTGAGCTCAGAGAAAATATATACGAGTAGTTTGCTTCAAGTTTCTTGAATTTATTCATCGAGACTGTAATGCTACAACATAAAATATGTAGTTATATTCTGCTTCATATTACTTTCCTATCATATTACTTTGTGTAATATATTTACAAAAATACCCAAAACGATGAACTTAAATTCAAGAAAATCCTATACTACTATCCTATATAAGTTGTATATTCATACTTAGTTACATTTATGGAAATTACTGACATTTAAATTTGATTAATTTAATGGTAGACACACCTCCAAATTTAGGCTGAAATGTAGTATACGGTACAACCTAGGGAAGTCATTTAAACTGGCACTTCGCGCCGTTCTGGCGTTAACTACGCAGTTAGAATTCTGGAGGCTTTCTTGAAAAGTGATGTCTTATAAAAGTGAAATGGTAATTATGCATTCGATAGACTCAAGGATGTTTATAGTGAACGCGAGGGCCGAAGGCCCGAGTCTCGCCGTGACTTGGATCCGGGCGAGCGAATAGAGAAAACTTGCCTTTGACAGTAAATTGGCGTTACAATGCGTTGGGGACAAAGCATATGAAGGACGAACAATGAAAATCGCCTATCCGTAAGTTTTATTCATTTCTATTAGAGCACGTACAGTAATTAGGGCGTAAGCCCAGCCGCCACGCGTCTCTAAGGGTGTACCGTATCTAAATTTTAATCCAAATTTATTTACATATTTTGGGTAAATATTGTTGGATAGCCGCCATTGGATGGATGAGAAGGAGAAAGGTATAAGTGACATTTTATAAATTCTGAGAAATCTGTTTAAGTCAATATGACTGTATGATTATGAAAGTCGTGGTGCTTTGTTTCATAATTTAAACCACGGTGTTTCAATTGTTCATTAAAACCATGAAAATGCATTGGCCTCGACATATATCTTAAAATAAACACATTTCTTTCTCGGAATTTATAAAATGTCACTTACACAGTTCTCCTTTTCACTTATTCAATGAAACATGAAATATTTATAAAAGTGATCTAAATTATTTTTACTGAAAAATATTAATGCCTCTTTTTTCCTAAAGAGGGAAACTAAAGTTCTAATTGTAATTTTCTCTTGTTGAACCGTATATTTCTGATGAATATTTCCTGTCTTCTGGAAAAATCTAAAACATAGATTTGCATATTTGTTACCTACCACCATATTTGTTACCTACCCTTATGAGAATAAGAGTCCTCTATTCATGGACAGGTTTCCATTTCCGTCTTGTCTATGTTAACATGCACGATTGTCTCGAAAAAATCACTCGGGAATTGTAATGATCTGTAGACGATATGGAATTAGGGAAACTGCCACGAAAAGCCCGACGAAGAAGGAAAACAATACATATTTGATGTTTCTGTTTCTTAAAACTTTCATAATGCCTTACCGGAGATTTATGGGATTAGATCCCGGGGGATTAAGCGCGATGAAAAACAAGAACTCTTATCAAAAGATTGGGTTGAGGCGAGACAACATTTTAATGAAGAAAACATACTCCAGAAGTTTTCAGAAGAGGCAATTTTCTCTTTCTGTCTCTTCTCCCCTCCATCTATCTCTTGTCCTATTTTCCGTCTCGCTCTGGCTTTCTCTGTCTCGTTTTCTCGGATTCTCTCTCTAATGTCGGAACGTGGCTGGTGGGGTTCTTTGCTCACAGTACTGTCGGCGCAAACGCGAAGTCGGAGGACTGTTGATGGTGTATGCTGTTGGTACTTTAAGCGTGTGAATGGGAAAAACTATGGATGGGGGTGAGCTACACGTCCTGCCCGAAAGAGACCCATACACGTGACCGTATTACCCTTAGTATTTACGAGATCAAATGTACTACAACATACATATGTGTGTACTCATTGTGTATAATATGCATAGGACACGTTATAAATACGTATGTACGATTTTGTATGCTTATATGTATGTTTACAACTTAAAAATTGACTTCAAATAAAGTGTCAACTGACAGCCGTGCTGTTTGGTGCATACGTGGTAACTGCGGGAGGCTTTCTGACGTCCAGTTCGTCACATTTATCCTGAATCAGTGTGTGTGAAGCGCCTAATGGAGAGGACAGCGACGGTCGGCGGGGCGTCCTCCTGCGCTGATTGAGATAGAAGCCCTACCGCGCGCCAGCGTCTGTCGCCCTCCCGCTCCCTCCCCCCTCCACGCGACGTCACAGCCTCAAGCGCTGCCTCACTGGCAGCGATTGGCAACGGAGGAAGACCCTGGGTTCACAGACGGAATTCGGCACCCAGACACCATCACTGCGAATAAAACGTTCCCTCTCGCCTGCTTAATGTGATCATGAACCTGTTAACGCATTAAGTACCGAAATTCCCAAATGGTTTTTTGAATTTTTTCCAAATCTTTATTTGCTCGATCTGTGCCAATTTTCGAATTTCATTTCTTCAACAGGCGGAGATGTTCTAAATGAAACATGAGCAAGTTTTGGCATTCCCAAATGCTTGGTTTCTAGAAGTAAATGCTCATATAATCAGTAGTATAATTTACAACTTAACCATGGTTTAGCGCTAAAATTGTAAAATCTTTCTATGAGAACGCCCTAGCAATTACTGCTCGAACAAAATTATATTGGCGTTAATAAGTTAACACTAGTAACTCATTGTATGAACTGCGCCCCGCAGGTCTGAACTAAATTGTAAAATTTCAGTTGTGGGAAAAGGAAACAGCGTAGGGATACTTGAAATGACGAATGAGTGAAGATATTCGTGTAAGTAGTGGACCAGGCTAGCGGGAACAAACCGAACTCGTGTATTTGCATAGTTGAACGGAAGAGTTCTTTATCTAAATCGACTAAGACTGTACCAAAATCGAATCTGCATAGAAGCAACGGGCACGAGAGTTTCTAATAATAAATAAAATGAATTTTAATGGATTTTATATTTACTTACAAATTTCAATGTATTGCAAAATTAATAGGCAAGCTATGAATGAAAAGCAGAGTATAATATGAGTGTAGGAAATACGATATCATGTCATTTCTGTTTTTATTGTTTTGAATTTTTCTTTCCTTAACTAGTTTGGTTTGGTAAAAAAATAAAAGTTACTACGACCATATCAATTTCATGTATTCTTGTGCAGTCGCGGAGTGACATGTAGCGTCATGTAGTAGCGGAGTGACTGGTGTCAGAGGCCCACATCTTTACGCTGAAGCCGCATTTCGAGTCTGGACAGCCTGTTAATAGGTCTATTAATGTTGTGAGGGAGGGAAGAAATTCGGCCAGCCCTCAGTGAAAAGCCTAACGTCGTTGGGTAAAAGTGCGTGTCTAGTGATGGACCGTGGGGAAGAGGGCGGTTAGAGCAGAGCGGGGAGCCAGCCATCGGAGTGGCCACATCATTACGTGGCAGCCGCAGCGGGGCTGCAAGGGGTTCGAACCAACGGCCCTGAGAGTGCGGCGGCGGGGCGGCCTCTGACCTTTCGCCCTCGTGGAAGCCCCGCGCGGAGGAGCGGGCGGCTGCCGCTGCGCAGTGGCTCGGGCGCCGCCCACAGCGGGCACAACTCAACCCTCATGCCACTCTTCCTGAGCAAAGAAACTTTAGAAGCCCCTTACCTCCAAAACACTGATACCTACTCCTAAGTTTTAATTCAGTTTGAGCTTATCTGAGAATTGTATCCCTAAGTACGTTCTCTTGAAAATGGAAAACAATCTCGAACTTCT